GGGTTAACTGATAGGTCAATCAAACTGTAAATTTGATCCCCGACCACATTGGTTTGGCAACTAGAGGGCTGGTCGCTGGACAAGCTCTCCCTCCCTCTGTTTGCGTTTTGTGCAAGTCAATGCTATGTTGCACTAATATGGAAAAAAATCTATTTGATCATTTATGGTGATTTACATTTGGACCGCACTGCCCTGTCAACCATTTTGACCAGCTCAAGAAAGCATTTTTAATGCAAGAAGATTTATGCTGCAAATGACTTCTCAGTAGTAAAATATCCATGCATGAGATCGTACATCTGAATGGTGTGTTTGTGTTGCATTTAAAAAAAAAACAAACAAAAAAAAACAATCAGTTACAATGCAACACAGCATACCATGCAGAAGTTATCTCTGCAGGGCTATTAGGCAAACTGTCTGAGGCTGCATGGACCCTGTCCCCCTCAGTTTTTGGCCCCCATACAATAAATGTTGTCATTATGCATAAATCTCATTATTAGAACTTTTATAAGCAACATTTTTGTTTCACTCAGTTTTTAAATCAAACAGGAGAAAACTGTGCATTTGTCTGAGCTACACCCACTGTGTTAAGGAACAAAGAAATGTCTTCAGATTAGGAAATGTGTGAAATACAAGGCTGAAAATGTTTGAGTCAAGCTGGGCACACATAACTAGTCACTGTAAAGACTTATTCATTAAAGTTCATCTAACAGTAGAAATGATTCCAAACCTGAAGTTACACTAATGTGAACCAAAGTGTAGAAATGGAAGTGATACATGAGCGTTCCATGAAAACTGATACATGCCTGCTGTTTAAGATGCTTGACAAATCAACAATCACCAGAGACTTATGTTAATCCTGACATCCTAACCCCTTAGTACTGCTCCAAAGATTACTTGGGAAACTGTGATTTTCATTTCTTTATTTTGATGATTGTGCGTTGATAATTGCTTTTGTCTTTTATTCTCAAATTTAACCGTTCCTTTCGTCCCACAGAATGATCCATGTACAGTTTTTTTTTGTCAAAGTGTTGTTTACAATTGTTTGTTTAAATGTGTTATTCCACATTATAGTTATATGAAATGTGTGTTTCAAACATACAGCCATGGTGGAGGAATTAATGTGCTCAAAAGAATCTCTCATTCAGTCACTCGCGGATTGGGCGTGAATCTTTCTCCACTGCACCTCAGACTCCTCCCAACCAATCAGATTAGAGTATTCTCACTGTCTCCTGAATGACTACGTGTATCAGCCCCTCCTTTGTGTCAGAGTCTTTCAGAAACAAAGTTCTTCAGGAAACAGAACAAACAACAAGTCCAAGCCTCAGGGTGTGTCTCTCATCTGCGTTCAATTCATTTCTATTTAGATCACATGCGCACATCATCACAAGAAGTGTTTATTATTTAGCCACATGGTGATTTTGAATACATACAGGAAGTGGCCTGAAGTAAATGTGTGCCAAACTTTAACCCTCTAAGTTTAGAACAAAAGAAACTTTTTAGCAAAGTTGCAACCAAGTTTTATTTAAGCCAAATCCTTTCTTAGACTCTAGAGGCACTATTAGAACGATCCTGCAATGATCAGTTTAAATTAAATATGGTTTTTCAGAGAGACATCTCTGAACAGCCAAACCATAGAAGGATTCTGGTGAAGCCAGCATTCAAGAAGAACTGGCCACCTGAGAAACCACTCGCTGCAAAAGCGAGCCCAGAAACCTGGTGATCACAGACTGTCATAAGCCTCCAGCTCAGGACCATCCTGGAACTCTGGACCCAGCTTGACTCTGGCCCAGAGAGGCTCCAAACCAGAAGTTCTCTTCTCCTGACCACGTGGAATCTCCAGAGCTAAATGGCTAACTCCTGCTAACAGCTGAGATGCGCAACTTTAGTACAAACAAAATTCCTGTAAAGCTATCGTCCTTTCATAAGCAATGTTTGGTAGCCTGATCCACGATTTACATGCGCAATTTTTCACCACACAGACATATAATCTGAAATAACCAATACATTTTGTATAAGAACAGATCAATAATTTTTTAACATTGGTTTAATACTAATAATATTATGCTTGTAAGTCAGATTTTCAATGATCAAGGATTGCTCTTTACTTATGAGGAATTTTTATGTCATAAGATCTCAGTTACTCCCAGAGATTTTTCTAGTGCTATTCCCTCTAGCATACTAATGTTATTCAAACGTTGTCCCCATCCAAATACTATTCCTTCTGTTGATCCAGCTGAGTGTTCAGCTGGAAAAGTGTGTTTTTCAGCAAAGAACAATAGGAAAAATCACTTTTTATTTAAAAAGGAAATTGCTTCTTTTAAAGGAAATTGCTTCTTTCCCTAGTGCTACCACTTACTGGAGTAGCTGTATACATGGAATTAACTGAACAAAAGTAGGGTGTCTACCTAAGAAGTACTTGGTGACAAATAAAGTGAAAGATGTAGCATATAAGATTATCCACAGATGCTATCTGACAAAATTTTGAAGACTTCAGCTGTTCTTTCTGTGGTGGCCACTTAGAAACTTTGAGCCATTTATTTTGGTACAGTGATCACACACATACATTTTGGAAAGATGTCTGCAGACTCGTATGTAGTAATCAGATTTTAACCTCAAATTTGAGAATTTAGTTAGTGGTGTTCATGGTCATTGTACGGGACATTTACATGGAGAACAACAATTTTTAATTAACTTAACAAAAATGTCCCTCAAGGGAAAAAATTTCTATACAAATGCAAATTTGATAAAAAACCAAACCCTGCTTCACATCTTTTTGTAATTGCATGGACTTTCACATAAAGACTATCGCATCTTCTAACAATGCAGTGGAGAGTTCTGAAGTGACTGCAATGAGTCCAGATCTAAATCCCATAGAGCTCCTGTGGAGAGATCTCAGAACAGCAGCTAGAAGAAA